GTCTATCTGTCTCTCTACAATAGAGGCAAAGCGTGAACACATGGGATGTCTGCACAGTTCTATCTGTCTATCTGTCTATTTGTCTATCTGTCTATCTGTCTCTCTACAATAGAGGCAAAGGGTGAACACATGGGATGTCTGCACATTTCTATCTGTCTATCTGTCTATTTGTCTGTCTGTCTATCTGTCTATCTGTCTACAGCAATAATGAATAAACACATTGAATGTCTGCACATTTCTATCGGTCTATCTGTCTATTTGTCTATTTGTCTATTTGTCTATTTGTCTGTCTATCTGTCTATCTGTCTATCTGTCTATTTGTCTATTTGTCTATCTGTCTGTCTGTCTATCTGTCTACAGCAATAATGAATAAACACATTGAATGTCTGCACATTTCTATCGGTCTATCTGTCTATTTGTCTATTTGTCTATTTGTCTATTTGTCTGTCTATCTGTCTATCTGTCTATCTGTCTATTTGTCTATTTGTCTATCTGTCTGTCTGTCTATCTGTCTACAGCAATAATGAATAAACACATTGAATGTCTGCACATTTCTATCTGCCTATCTGTCTGTCTATCTGTCTGTCTACAATAGAGGCAATGGGTGAACACACTGAATGTCTGTATATTTCTATCTGTCTATTAGTCTATCTGTCTGTCTAGAGCACTTATATGACCTTATTGTGTTGCAAGTGCCGTAAAACTCTTACTAAAACTAAACTGACCTTTGCGCGTGCTCCGGAAGTGGTGTTCTCGATGACGACATTTCCGCCGCTGTGGTCAATGCTGGCGAATCCCAGGGCGCCCTTGGATGACCTCTGGACAGTGAGACTTCCGGTGGACTCTTTCAAACCAATAAGCAAAAAAGAAGGAATTAACGACACAATACACCCACGAGCGGCACACACACACACATAAACACAAACGACGAAAGCGAGAAGCACGGAAAGAAGGAAACAGTTTGAAACAGTTTGCTAAAAAAAACAAACAAGCGACGTCGAAAGAGAAACAGACACGGGAAATAAAATGACAAGACTTCTGCAAAGTAGTAACATCGTGGTTTCCCAAATACATGTTTTTTGTTTTGTTTTCCTTTCTTTTTTGTTTTCTTTTTGCTGAAACAATTTCAAAGATGTGCCCATTATTCTTTTCACAGGACAACATGCTTCTGCTATTTTTCGAGAAAAAAAAAAGCCCTAGCGAGCAGCATATCATATATCAACGAAGAATATTTTGAGAACCAATCTTGACTGATCATTAACTACTTAATAAGCTTTTCTGTACCAACATTCTCCACTTCGCCAACGACCTATTTGCTACAAAATTGTTTTGAATAGCCTACCCGTTTGTAAAACAGAAGACCCAAAAAAACAAAAAACAAAAAACAACAACAAAAAAAACACCGTGTAGGTATGGGGATTTTTTAAAAACCTGGGAAAGAAAAGAACGCAAAAATTCCGAGTTGCTGACCGGAAACGTATTATGCTTGTACTTCAAACTCGTTCCAAAGATTGTTCATAACAAGATAGTTCGCTCAGTCCAAAAAGTCCGCGGAAATCCGCCGCGCGTTGGTTCAGATGGCGCTGCAGTCTTTGTTTTGAAGATATTTTTCGTTTCTCCAGAAGAAGAAGAAGAATAGCACAGTTTGTTAATTTCGCTTTTTTTGTTTTCCACACAAGTAGTGTAACTCTGTTCGCAAAGTTTGCGCTTTTTCGAAGAGGGCGGTTTTCAGGACACTTTTATTGACCCAAAGAGAGGAGACAACTATCTTGTTATACACGATCTTTGCTCGTTTTGAGAGCGGAGGAGACTGAACGGACACGTGATCGACAAGTTAGACGGCTCATCAAGACGATTTTCTTTGAAAAGAGACGACTTCAAGCAACAAGTTGCGCTCTCTCGGCGTATTTCAGTGCAGATGACGCCATCATCGGTAATTCCCGCTCAGCATTGTCTTAGACTTGTTGACTGCTCGTGGTGGCTGTTGAGAAGTAATTTGCTGACTGACAGTTTGGGGAAGAGTGGTAGAAAAATAGGCACACAACTGGAGGTGAAAGCCACATCGCTGTGGTTCGAACCTTTCGAACCTTGTCTCAACACACTGTCAATGAAACTCCACAACTGCAAAGAAGGGACGCCTAGAAGTCAGATTTATGAATAATTAATGATTATCCAGGAGAAGCAAGACTAGTCCATGCGACAGATGCAGAATTTGACGACCGTTAGTGACGTCATTCAGACGTGGTAACGTCACACGTGCAAGGACACCACACGACCGTCGCCGTCCGTTAAACAAGCACTAGGCTAGAGTTAGCTAGCAGGCAGGTTAGTTGGGCTAGGAGGAGGAGGAGACATTCACAGAGGCTGACTACCCGCGTGGTCGTGTGCTCAATGTGGCAACACACACACACACACACACACACACACACACACACACACACACACACACACACACACACACACACAACCCCCCCCCTCCCCCACACACACACACTGCGCACGCATGCACGCACAAGCACTCCCAGAAAATGAAAATAATCGATTGCATAATTCCATTTCCAGGAACGACACCACGGGTTGCTTGTTCAAACGTACACTATTTTAGATTTTCCCATGTGAATATTGATCAGGTAATATTGTCTGTTTGAATTAGGTGGAGCTGGCTCATGAAATATTGATAAACTTGTATTTGGTCTAGTTTTTATTAAGGGTACTTTGTTTTGTCGTTCGTTTTGTTTAATTGAGAAGTTTTGATTTTAATTGTTGTTTTACTGTTTTTGTTGTTATTGGGTTTTTTTTATTTGGGGGTGGATGCATCGGTCGGGACATGATGGCGCATTTGTTGTTTTGTCCATATTATGTTATGTTTTGTGGTGTTTTTGGTTTGACGTAA